TATCATAGATAGTTTTGAATCTTCATTTTTTGTTGTTGCTTGTAATGTAATCTATGTATTTTTTCAAGTGATTTCTTTGTCTTTATTTAAATGGCTGTATCAAGTTTTTAGGAGGTTCTTAAAGAAATGTTTAATCATAAAGATCTTTCCATTCTTGGCATTTGGGAGGTTTATTTTATATTTTTGAGGACCAGTACAACTGGCCATCCTTTATGGATGCTATGTGAGAGGAGAAGAGAAATTACCAGACTCTGCACAGGGGAGTATGGCTTTCTTCCCCACCAAGAAACCCTCTGGGAACACAGGATGGTAGGAGCCAGGCAGCGATAGCCTGAGGCAGGTAGCAGGTGACTTTTCAAGCCTCTGCTTTTTTGACTGAACACACATTCTTCTTCCTGCCCTTGTAAAAAGACAAGTTTTCATTTTCTTAGGGTAGTAAAAATCTTTTGTGTGAAGAAAAAGTGTCATCAAGTGTCTTATTCATCAGCATATATACCATCTCTTTAAAATGACAGGGGGAGTAAAAGTTCATCAGTTCAATATGTCTTTCACATTTGGAGACTCCTGACTAATAACCTCTGGTATTTATCATCAGAACAGCCAAAGAACTAAATTCTGGCACATCCTGCTCTCACGCACTGAGAAAAACTTGAAAAAGACCGAAGATTTTCTCTATTTTTCCTTCTTCCATTCATTTGGAGAAAAAGCATACCTTTTTTTAATTAAAAAAAATATGAGCGTGCAGAAACATCTGGCCTATATTATCATAGCAGCCTCTTAAATAGCCTTTTTGTCTCCAGGCTGCCCTTTTAAAATTGACTTTATACAACAGTCAGAAAGATCATTCTAGATCACAGAACTGTACCGGTCACTCTCCATTGCTGTTGGTATCTTCTTCCATGACACTTTCATGGCTCTGGAAGTTTCATACCATGTGTCACTGAGGTTCCCTGCTTGTACCCTGTCCCAGAAACACCAAGTTGTTTGTGGTTGGTTTCCTGCTACCTGCAACAATAAAGGCTGTTTCCAGGCCCTCATGCAAATTAGTTCTTTCTCCTCAAGCTCTATCTCAGGCTCTGCAGAGCCTGGCTTCCAACTTGGGCTTCCACAACACCTGCTTACACTAAGTACAGTCACAATCTTGTTTTTATTTGACCAGGGTGATAAGTTCATTTTAAAAATTGAATATCATTGGGCAGGGCATATCCCTGTTCAGTTTGCTTAAGTCCCCCACCACTCTCTATTACACACCAAATCTTAATTACATATTTATTCTATGCTGAGTCATATAAGTTTAAAAAAAATTTATTGAGGTAACATTGGTTTAAATAATTGTTTCATATAAGATTATTCATTTTCTGATTTCTTTTACCTGATCATCTATAAACTGCTTCCATCAAGATTGTAGATTGTTAACTTTTGGATCTATAGTCCTAGCATAGATTCCTCAATATATTATATTAATTTACACTTTAAAAAACCTAAAATTAGGTCAGAAAAGGCTCAATATCTCCTTTCAGCCATTTTGTTATTTGCAAATATAATAAGATTCACGGGCCTCAATGGACTTGTGTCTGTTAGTGGCTGACACTGGCAGTGTTCTTTGGGGGTGGCTGAAAGTATATGTTCATGATGTGATGCTTCTAGGGCTGAGCCACATTGGATCCTTAAGCCTCTGAATGTGGTTATGATTTTTCCCACTATGTCCTGTACCAGGAGATCCATATCCTTATAATCCCTCATGAGTAATCATTCTTCACATTTGTCATAGTTTTGTTTCCACAGAGGCATACATTGCCTTGGTTTCATTTCAGGTCCACACACTCCCATCAAATGGCTCCTACGACATTTGAATATAGTAGAATTAGATGTAGTATTTTACTTGTGTTACAAAGTCTGATCATAATCAAAGTATAATCAGCATATTACCCTGAAGTTGGGCCCTGCCAAAAGGTAATGTACTCAGTTCTATGGAGACTGGTGAGGCTGAGATTGCAGTAATGGATGTATCCACTGGTCAGTCTGACATGTCATCTTTTTGATTCAGTTCTTTGCTTACTGTAGTTTCCATTTCCTTAGTTATTCTATTCTAGATGTTTAGTTACTCGCTGCTTTAAAGACACTAAAAATGATCCAGTGTCCCACTGGACCCCAAATTACTCATATTTGTGGAATTTTACATAATCAGTGACATAGGACTGTACTGCCTGCCTGTGGCAATGTTGTTGCCATAAGCCAATCTCCAGAGAATGCCCTGCATTTTCAGGAAGTGCTGTGGATATTGTAGAGGGGCTCTTGTATAACATAAGGCATTGCTGAGGAAACTTGTTAGTGGCACAAGAATGGAAATGTATGTAAGTATCAAGTTCAAAGGACAAAATTAAGTAAATAAAACCCTTTTATCTAAGTTTCCTTCCTTAGGGAAAAGATGGGGGCAAAATGGGGAGGGCTTATTATGGAATACTTAAGCAAGTGGAAACTTCACTGACTGTTTTGTTAGTGTACCCTCTTGATTGCCTTCTCATAGTCCCCATTGTAAATTCTTAGTTAACATAGTGAATGGGTAATGGGTACACCTGAAAGCCGAGCAATGGTGTACCCAGTGGGTAATGGTTTTATCAACTGGTTCTTTTCTATAGCATCAAGCCTATCAGCTTATCATTTTTCCTAATAATAAATACTTTATTTCCTCCAAATCAATTGCTTCCAAATAATTTTGAGTCAGAAACAGATACAGCTGCATCTATTCTATACTCTTGGTTCCAATTATGTTAAATTACACAACTTACTCATAAGTTCTTAGGTTTTTTCTTTTGCTGAGACATAGACCTGACATACACCTGTGGAAACTCATGATTACCAAACATTCAGCACAAGTCAGTTATAAGTAAACAAAGAAGTAAAGAGAGCACGAAGCTAAATATGACATCTCTAGAATAGGTTTTCCCCCCAAATTTTGGCATCCCTAAGTTGATCTCAAATGTTTTCCTTTCCCCTGTCCCTTCTGCCTGAAACACATGTACACCTCATTCTGCATGGCATCATTTCACACTTGAGGATTTCCACTTCAGAGGTAAGATGTACACAGACATATATCGACTATAAATTTAAAATATTTAATTTTTCATAGAAATTACATTGTTTGGATTGACCAGAAGCATCAGGCTTTCCATACACTGCATTATCTTATTCAACCAAATACCCATAGCTGAAAGAAGAAATAGTAAACAACCCACAGGAAAATCTAACATTGTCCATTTCTGTTACATTCAGCTGAAAATTTATTCTTATGCCTCTACTCAGATAAAATGATAAATAAGTTTGGAGTCAGTTTTTTTTTTTTTTTTTTTTTTTTTGGTCAAAATTCTTATGCTTCCTGGCCCAATCTGCCTGTCCCTATCTCCTTCACTTCCAACTTCTTTTAATTATTCTGCTTCTATCCTCTGAATTTTAATAGACTCATATCCACTAAGAAAAGGAGAGCCCAAACTCACACTGACCATCCAAGATGACTTAGTCTGCACTTCGTATTCCCAGTAACATGCACAGTTGCCCTTTGATGCCAGTGGCCATGATTTATATCCCCTAAGTCACTATTACTTGGTCCAGTGTACAGAATAGGCATAATACATAGTTTTAAAATGAATGAATGAATACCCAATTTCACTGTCTATGATTGTTTAACCTCTTTTGTCCAAATTACATGTAACTAGGATTGTATCATGTAGGGCTTCTGACAAATGTTAATATTAAGTTCAATGCAGTTCATATAACTGTTGTTTAATGAGTGTTTAGTAGGGACAAAAGATGTTGTTTATTTTGGAGCCCTACCACAGAGAAGCCAGAATCTGACACACAGGATTTCAAAACTCATGCTTGTTCCAATAATTCAAGTCAAGGAATGGATTTTTACCTTGAAGACTAACCTGTATGATTCAACAGATTGGTCATTATGATTACTCTCCATTGGACCTCCTGTGGTTGGAATGCCTTATAAAATTCCAGACATGGAAAAATCTTAGGAAACCATCTGTGTTTCGTGAAATATTTAAGTGGAAACCTTACCCTTCAGAGAGTGCAATTGATTCAGCTCAACAGATATCTACTATACCCATAAACATCTATTGAACACCTTGTATGTAACATGAGTTGCAGATAAATATGAAACTGACAATTCCTTCAAATCATTTGTAATTTGGTAGGTAATTGTGGAAATAAAACAGTATATAGTGTGTAAACTATACAACAGGAACAGTTATAAGGAGCAAAGATAAAAGAAAGAAGTAATTAACTTCACATAATGCATTAGGGAAGCCTTCCTGAAAGAAATGGCTATGGGTTGGACTTAAGCCATGATGGCAGTTTTTGTGTTTTGGGTGACTGTCATGAGTGAAAAATGCCCCTGATGTGCTTGATGTATCACTTATAAAGCAGTTACACATTGCAAGGAACAAACCTTTAAAAATAAAAGATTTGAAAAGCATTTGACTTCTCAATACAGCACCTAAATCCACTTCAATATTCTGTGGTTTGTGTGATATCTGAGAAACAGAGCTGAATCAAACCCTACTATATTAATGGATTTGTATATGTGCACATAAGGCTAATATATTTTATGCTGCCATTTTTTGTAGTTTCATAAATGGTGCTATCACTAACATTTTTTTAAATGAAAAAGCTCATATTTGCTGGTAGAAATTCAATGTATTTCATAGAATTCTGTTACTCTTGATATAGCCTACGGGATGTGACTTTTCATAAAAACCTAATGAATTTCTAGATTTGTCAGCTGTTTCCAAACAGATACACTCTGCTAATCTAATGGAAACATTTTGAGCCCAGATCCCAAATATCAATAGCTTTTAGTATTGCAAATTTGTTTTTCTGTTGGTTAAATTGGGGCTGTGTGGTTCTTGATTAAAAAGTAGCAACTAATTTTGTATGGATGCTTTATGTTTAACTGCCTTTCCAGGGTTTGATGCTCATATTTTTCCTTGCAGAGTTTCAAGTTGAATGTAGATAGTCATTGTGCTCTCAAGGAAGCTGTGGAGGAGGAAGGACACCAACTTCTTGAGCTCATTGCATCTCACAAAGCAGGTAAATCCTCCTGAAATATTGCAAGTCTTTATGTCTCCAGACTATTAAGAATGAAGAAGCATTGCTGTAAATTACTGCTTATATTCACTTCCTTATGTATTATTAATATTTACATTATCAGATTGACCTTCAAGATTTATAAATGTTTCATATACTGCATACAATGCTGTGATACTTATAAGATGAAATACTGCCTCCAAATGGTCTGTTCATTTTATTTCGGACTTGCTGTTCGCCCGAGTTTCAATTGAAATCACATTCCTGAAAACTTCACATTGACATGCTTTTTGATGTAGATGCTCTGGAAATACCGTTAAGATAATGAATGAGAATTGTGCATATAGTTGTAATGCACACACTTTAGAGTACTTATAGATATCATTACAGATATAAAAAAGGCAATCTAGAGATATCTGATTATTTTCCTGCCAATTCACACACATGAACATTTTGCAGATTGTTTGCTGGTCATTGCATTAGCAGAGTTTTAGCCTTAAACCAATTCTTACCCAAGTATTAATGTACTTATGAGGAACAGATTACAAATAAAAAATAGTTTTCTCATTTGGTTATAATTATCTTGATAGTAAGAGGCCATAAGAGGATGAATTACAGTTTGACTTTTGCTTTGAGTTTGCCACAACTAAACAAGAGAAGAGCAGTATTAATCGGATGTGCTAATGCTAAAGACTGCTATCTAATTCTCACCCATTTACTGTATTTCTCATTAATTTTACTTATATTCATATATCTTTCTGATTCCTATAAAGTTTCCACACAGATACATACAGGGACTTTTATTTGGATTGTGAAGCTGTAGTATTAATGATTTTTGTACATTATCATTTTTTTAGTTCTTCATGCATTTTTTTGACAATACACTTAATCTAATTTGATTCCAAATCTTGTATTTATGTGGTTATCCCATTTTTGTGTCCTCAAGCCTTATATCAAGTAAAAAATCACCAGTGTCTGTTATGAATGACAAATGCTAATATGGCAGGTGATGATAATGGTCATTTAAAAAGGTAAATATTATTTGGAATATTCATCTGATTTACTAAATAAAAAAAGAATAGTGGTTAAAAATCCAATCAAGTCTGTGATGGTGCTTTCCCCTCCTCTTGGAGAAGGACTGAAGGACATGCTGCGGATGATTGCGAGTCAATGGAAGGAGCTGCAGAGGCAAATCAAACGGCAACACAGCTGGATTCTCAGGGCTCTGGATACCATCAAAGCCGAGATTCTGGCTACTGATGTGTCTGTGGAGGATGAGGAAGGGACTGGAAGCCCCAAGGTAAGTGGCTTGAAGTTTGCCTTATTTCCTCTTATTTCTGTCTTCTTTTGAACTAGGCACCACTGAAGTTTTCTTTCTACCCCTAAGGCTTTTCGTTTCTACTGTGTAAACTTTATCTCTCTCTTTCTCTCTCATATATATATATATATATATATATATATATATGAGAGAGAAATATATATATATATATATATATATATATATGCACACACACACAAAATGAAATGACTTAGTTTAAAACAATAAAATTAGCCTGCAACTTTTAACTTTTCCAGGAAGAGGTCCATTTGTGAAAAGTGGTAGGGTAGGAGAGGGATTGTACTTTAGGGGTAGAGAAAGGGGGACATAAAACATTTAGTAAACAAAACATAAAGCATCTTTAACATGAATAATCTGAATGGTTTTAAATTGTTTTGTTGCAACTATAAATCACTATAATCAGTGCAATCAGTCAGCTCTGACATCCATTAGCCGCTTGGTTACAGCAAATTAACAAAGAAGAGAGAAAGTGATTCATTATCTCATTCCTGTTAATGACTATCAGATGCATTGCCTAATTAGGGGATGGTCATTGTAGTGGGGAGAAGGTCATATGCTTTGCTACAAATCTTTTTGCTCTGAGTGTAAGTTCTCCATAACAGTGTATGCACCGAATGCTACAAGTACTTCAAAAATGAGTACTGACACATTTGGTTATCCATTTTAGATTTACAAAACAACCTATATAGCACAGATAATTAAACTTTAAGTGAGGCACCTTTTAATGCAATATACCACTATTATAAAGGTATCTTTGGACACATGATGTGGGAAATAATTTAATTAATTTAATACTTTCTTGTCTCACACTTTTGTTCTTTTGTGAAAGTGAATGCAGAAAACCAGTCTCATAATAGACTCAGCATCTAAACATATTGTGCCATAGGAGAAACAGATTTAAGAGTTCATGGTTCCTATTGCTGATTTGACAAAGTAATTAAATCATCAGTAAGTCACATTTCTTCAGCATCCATGTGAACTGGCATTGTGCTAAGTGTATACAGAGCAAGTCAACAAGCCATTTGCTCTCTCAGACTCACCATTGCAGGGCAGGAGACACCCAACCTGCTCTGCAATGGTGAGGCCATAGAGCCAGTGAAAAGCTCAGACGATTTATAGCTTTGGTACCTCAAACAACAACTTCTAACTTGTTTGTTGGATACAGAGGGTGGAATGATGAGTTCAGTTCTGCTTAGAAAAGGCTCCATGGAGGAGATCACATTTCAGGAAATACCAAAGGAAGGAATGAGAGGTGGCTTGGCACATGAGCACATATTTTAGGAAGTGATGTGATGAAAGGATCAGAGCTGGAACTAATAATATGGTATGGGGAGCACACTCAGTAGACTTCTCAGGGCAGAAGTGGAGCTCTTTACTGCAGGGAGAAGTTGATTGGGTTAATGCTTTGGCTGGGGTTGGAGTGGGGGGCAGTAAAACATTATCTTGTTTTTACAAGAAAATATACTGAGTGCTTACTTTTGAAAAGCTATTTTGTCTTGGATGCATTCTATATGCCAGACATGCTTCCACAGCTCATAGGTGTTCTCTCGTTTAATTCTCACACAAAACGATCAGTCGTCCTATTATAATCCCCAGTAGAGTAAATGGAGGCTGGGAGAAGTTAAATAACTTGCTTAAGATCACATAGGTACTAAGTAGCAGACTGGGATTTGCTTTGGAGCAATGTTGAGACAATGTAGAGCTCTGTTTGCCAAACTAAGACTGAGTCTTAACTGCCTAGGACTGAGGATGGTGATGAACCACTAGCCTCAGTGCCTATTTCATGGAACTTGTGGTGAAGTTAAATATAATAATCATGCCTTTGTAGACCGTGACATGCTGTGAAAGAAAAGGGAGCCACTGGAGTTGGGCAGGAAGAAGTGATTTAGATCAGAGCATCAAGGAGGGCTTCTTTACAGGCTACTGCAATTAGAGAGAAAGGGAGAAATGTGCAAGAGAAGACAAATGGTCAATTGTCCAGCAAAGGGGAAGGTTTTGGAGTAGTGGGGAAATGACACCATTGATTTGCAGCATGAAAATGTGTTCCTGGTTGTAGAGTAGAGCATGGGTGGGTGGAGTGGGGTGAGTGGGAATGAGGGTGGGGAAGCACCAGAGTGGAACTGCAGAGATGGTGAAATTACTTAAATTAATAAAAGCCCTATGTTGAAAATGAGTAGCTCTCATCACCAGGGCCAATTTGAGTTTGACACTTTTAAATCAGCTCATTTTGTAGGGAGGTACTGAGGTGGAATAAAGAAGATAATTATCCCAATAAGGAGGAGAATGTATTATCAAAGGCGAGGCAATGTCAGCATTTCTCAGAAGGATGACCACCTGCCCAGGCTTTGCCTCAGACAGGTCAGAACCTCATTGGTGGGACTCCAGAATCTGCATTCCATCAAACTCCCCTATAAGTACTGTAATGAATTCTAAGAAGGTTCTGTTCCTGCAGGGCTACACAGTCCTCACACATCTGGGACCCTCCAAGTCTGTGACCCTCACACGTCTGGGACCCTCACTCATCTGGGACCCTCACATATCTAGGATCCTCATACAACATAAACGAGAGAACGTCATACTTGTTACTTATAACAAACAAATGGTATCAACTCAAGTATTTAAAATAGTGACTGTTTAATTAAACAAACTATATCATACCCTAATGAAAGGTTTCATAGCTATTAAAAATTATATTTTAGAAGAGAATTTTAAAACATTTAAGAGACATGTCTGAAATTATGTATTTTTAAATATATTTGAAATTTCCAATTCTTTCCAATGAGTGAGGATTACTTTAATCCACAAAATAAAGAATTTATCTAAAAAACAAGAATTAAGAAGTTTTTAAAAAGGTAAAATAGGTGATATTGATTGGGGGGACTCGAGAGAGATGAATTTAAATATCAGGAGGAAAAAGAAATACATCTAGATCTTAATGATTGGGGTCTCTCACTTTTACACAAACCACAACAAAACCCCTCTCTGTTTGAATCATCTCCAAGTCAAAGTGTCTTCTTTCACTCACACCATAATGTTTTTCTCATTAATAGTATCTCTATTCTAAAGCATTTCATGTCACACTATGTGCATCTATATAAAAGTAGCTATGAGGAGAGGCTTCGTACATAGCCACAGATGAGGAATCGGAGGGAGGTACTGAGAGATTTAAGACTTTGACATGGCAGAGACAGCAAACCTTCTGCCTTCTGTTTCCCAACTAGTTTTCTTTCCCCCAGCCTGGGCTGAATTTTCTCTGGAAAATTGAATTTGTCCATAGTGAAGGGTGAAGGTGAAATCAATTTAAGACAAAGAAAATATATTTCTAAATTTAAACTTAGGACAAACGATCGTTCCTTTTATTTGTTTAATGTATATGGAGTGCGTCCCTTGTTTTCCTTGAGCAAACACAAAAAATAATCGGAAAAGCTCAGTCTCTGAAGACAGACTGCTTGAGTTCAACTCCTGATAATTACTAGCTATGTGTCCTTGGGAAAATTACTAACGTTCTCTGTGCCTCAGTTTCCTCATTTGTAAAATAGAAACAGTGGTAATATCCACCTGAAGGGTCGTGATGCAGTTTAAAGAGTTGACATCTCTAATGTGCTTAGAAAGTGACTGGCACATAGTAAATCCTAGAGAAGGGCAAATGTGCAAACCTTCATATTTTAGTGGTGGAGATAAAATAAACAATTATATAAGAATTTGATAAATACTCTAGTAGAGGATCATACAAAGTTCTACGAGTGCACAGAGAAGAACTAATCCTACTTGGGGTCATTAAGGAGAGATTAACGGGAGTGGTGTATTAAATGAAGAGTGGGAAGTATTTTTGCTAGGGTGAAAACAAAAGACAGAGAACAGCATATGCAGAGACTACAGAACCCAGGGTCTCACTGTGGACACTGATTAGACCAGCAGCACAATCTGTACCAAGGCTCACAATGTCACAAAAATGACCCTTAATGTTGAATGATTTGAGCAACAATTCCTCCCATGTTGACATTATCCAAGCCAGAGTGAGATCTCTATATGGAACATATCTAATATGTATTGTTTAAATAGAATTTTTTCTTATATTGCCAAAATAGAGCAAGTTTAAATAGGTTACCCTGAAGTTCTTCAAGACTAAAAGCTGGGTTTGACTTGTTATCTGTCATGTAAGTCGTCTTTCCATGATGTGACCTTGCATAGGTCATGTACAAATTGTGCCATGAAATGCATCTCTAAGCACAGCAGTTATGATCATCTATTTCATCTTAGACCTGAAAGAGGAGCTAAAATTAAAACATAATAAAAAATAACTCCAGAATTCATCTTAGGTTTACTTCAGAAGCTACTGGGAACTTGAGAAGCATAATAGAAAATCTAAGGAATATATCTAGGGGGTATTTTTCTTTTTTACCTTGTTTGAGAGACTGCAGAAAAGGACTTGGCCTTAGAAATCTTGTAAAGAAGGAGGATAGGAGGAAATTCAAAGACTCTGGGAAACTTCTCCCCCAGGAATCTGCAGCATACCTTATTTGTTGTATTTCATTTTTTTTTTAAAAAAGTGTTTTCCCAGGACTGTGAGATCTTTTATACATGGAAATAGAGAACAGAATTCATCAGTTCTAGAAATAGAGTTTCAGCAGTCATATCCAAGAATTGAAAATATGCTTGTAATAATTATATTTTAACTTAAGATTGATGAAAGTTTATCACTTAAACTAGACTTTCAGTGTGTTAAAATTTTGAATGGTGTACAGCTGAAGGGATTTCAAAACTCAGTGAATATCTAATGCCTAACAAAGGACTACATTATTTTTTTGACCTTTCAAGGTAAAAAACCCAAAATTCTGAAAGCAAGAAAATATTCTTAATTTTATATATTGCCTTCAATAAAATGTACTTATCCTCTATTTCTTTACTTTTTACCTATAAAGCATGCCATCATTATAAATGCCTTAGAAACAAGGCCAGGT